TGAACTGTGATCGCAAGTGTGTACGTGTCATCTGTGATGGCAGTACTGAGGAGTCGGCGAGTAACATAATTCTTCTGACCAATTCCAACAAAAACTCCGTCAGTGATAGGGAAAAGCGGTAAGTTCTAAGATTATAACCAATCAGTGATAGATCGTGAGACGAAAAATAATCTCAGATATAACGAGTTGTGATAGACCAAGCACCAACGTCACTGTGGATATACTGCAACTAAGTGCTGTGGTATGATCAAGCATCGGATTCTCTTGATAAGCTAGTGTCGTCTAGAGTATACACCCAACAACAAGAATGCTCACCTGGAAATTTTTGGAAAACAACGAATGGACCTATATATGGTCAGGTCGGTGAGAACCAAAGGTCGCACTTAAAAAGATGTTGAAAGCCTGGCTATTAGAAGAATACCAAGTTTTGTGTTGTAGCCACAAAATCCACACCGAAAGCCATTTGACTACTTACTTGAAATTGTGAAACTGTGAAACTCAATCCAGTACGTTCATCGGAGGAATCTTTAGAATAGTCAAAAGCTTGAGTGATTGGTCAGGATTCGGAGCAATTTTCATATTACAGTTAAATTCAAATAGTTTGTAACAGTCTCTTCACCACAGTTTTCTGCAAAAAACCACGAGATGCTGTAGAAAGATGCAACTTCGGAACCAGGGCGCAACGGAAAGAAGACGCTGAAATTTCCTCCAAAAAACTTCATTGAACAATATTGTCACTTAGTTTTTCCTTCACTCCGTATTGTATTTCAACCTTCATTTAGGTCTCTTCTGACTGAACTTACTGCCCTTCAATATTCCTCATCTGAGCTTTTGTTATGTGACTTTGTTTGAAAACTCTTTGTTTGTTAATTGGTTTTACTCTCGCATGTTGAAGAACGTTTGACTATAAGGTAGTGTTTGACTAAGCTCAAAGACAAGGCGTGGTTCAGTGTATGATTTAACCTTTGACTGTTTGCTTGGAAAGATTGATATAATTCCTACAGACAGATATCCAATTCTATCTTGTTGGAAATACTACTATTGATTCAAAGGTATCTAACCCTTGTGCTAAGTTTGTCTTAGATTGTTCCTACATGTTCCTTTTCTACTCTTTGTATGTTGTTTTATACTACTTATTTACATTCAGTAGGCAGCTGTATGCCCAACAATTTTCACACTTATGTTGTAACTCGAGTCGTACTGTAACATTCTGGAATGTTCACCTATATCTTTGACGTTTATTTTACTTATAATTGTATTTATCATTATAATCACTGTAATTTAATTACTGTAACGATTATCCACAGTTTTGTGCATTTGTTTGAATGCAACAGTTTCCATATTGTTTGCTCTTGGTTCGAGTTTCGGTTGTTCATAAACTGTTACCAAATTTAGACACAGCTATCGGCTGTCTTTGGACTATCGTATGTTGTAATCATTCTTTATATTACTCTTACAGGAAGCCTTTGCTATTTTCATTCTTGAACGACGCGTTTAAACGCCTAGACACCTAACTAAATTTTGTGTATTAGTCAATAAAGAACCGCTTTTGTAGACAAATCGTCGTTTTGGAACTTCGATTTTGCGCGTATCTCAATCGGGGTTACTTGGACGCTTCGATAGAATTAACACATTGTTGACTATTCCCTCTGTCGTTTAGCACGCTAGTTCATGTTTCAGAAGCATTTGATCGTATAGCACAGGTTGTACCGTTTGAGCTATTCCGTATTTTTGTTATAGTTTGTTCTCTTTCTTGAATTGGAACCGTTTACATTGAACCAAAATTTTGCTTTTTGATGTAATTCTATACAAGCAACTCAGAGACCCTTCGTATTCTATACGGAAGAATGTAGTCTGGTCGTTAATATTACGTACCAACAGAATCTTGGCATTTCGGCCGTTGCACAAAACTTAAAATTGAAACACTATTATGATTAATAATGGCTTTATTCAATAATATATTTTGGTACAATATAGAATTCTCAACACAATCATACATCTTCTTCAGTGAAGAAATACTAAACACCCAACCCATTCAATAGCATTTCGAACTACGTTTGCCAGTGCTGATGACGCAAAGAATGTCTGACTGGTTAGTTATAAGATCCCGTCTGATTGGAATGTGTGAATTTTTCCAAATGCGCCGTATTTAGAGCAATTTTATAGGAATATGAAAAAACGTTAGGGAAAAAGTAAGAAACATAAATGCACATGGAATTCAAAACAATACATTAGTATTGGTTCCTAACCTCAAGATCCTCGAAGCTGGACACACAATAAATGAGGAGGTTTACATTAAGCGTTGAACACTTAAAGAAGGTCAGAATAGGCTAACAATGGAACATTTGATCGAGACGGCATGGCTCAGTTATCCAGGCCTGATCATTGTGTAAACTCTTGTATTTTATACAAAAATGTTTATTTTATTTTTAAACCGGATTTATCATTCAAGGGTTCATATAAAGCATATTTCTGACTGTTGTGAATATAACGGGTTACCATAGTCAGTGATGTGAATTCTACATAATATCTTGTAAATTGAGCAGTAATCACGGGAAATTAACAATATTGGATTGATTTTATTGCTCTAGTAGCACAGTTAATTGCAATACTACCAACCTAGAACTAAATCTTATGAAACCATGAACCTTGAGGACTCAGCTTTTTATAATCAGAGATGGAAGCTCGAGACATATATCAAAGCTCAGAGGTATTCAGACCCAAAATCTTTTTGGCTGACCGGAAGTGGCACTAAATCTCAGGCAACGAATTTTTATCGAAGATAAGGCCTTTTATTCTCGTGAAAATTTGCACAATGCGGCGACAGATGTCTTCTGAAATCCAGGTACAATCGGACAAACAACGCGAAGACAAGATCAAACATAACCAAAGCAAACTAAAATTGGTGACTTCTCTAGCTATGCACGTGAGGCTCAGTCAGACGAGAATACTGACGAATAACACGATTTCCGAAGAAAATATAGTGGTTGCTTGTGAGAAAATGTTGCAACTTAAAACAACTGAGAACAAGTCATGTTAGCTAAGTAGTGGAGACAAGGCTCAGCTGAAATGGGCGAGAGATGCACAGTCATTTGTTAGAATTATGGAGTAGGGATTGGCTCTACGGGGTGTGTGTTTTATTCCACTTGATGCAGATGCCCAGTGATATCTGTCACTGCACACAACCTCGCTCACTGCAATACAGTTGGTTCCACAAATGGTTGGTAAATACTTGAGATCATACAGAACCTCTTCCTTCGAACAACAAACAGAAAGGACAATAATAGTCACAATTCAAAAAGTCAGAGACGAAATAATTAACAGGAAGTCCAGACAAACTAGTAACAAATAAAAGCAGGCCCTAAGGAAGGGCGAGAACCGATTCAGATTGATTTAGTGGACAAACGTTTTACCAATCTCTGAAGCATATTCCTTCACACAGCATCCACGAGTGGGTCAATAGGAATCTCGAACGTGAAGCTATAAACTGACATGCTGCACTGCGGATCTCGTCTTTTAAAATGTTCCATATCCCCTGGACTGGACGTAATGCACCTTGCTATACGGACCGATGCGGCCACACTCTTTTGTCTACGGTTCTATCACTCACTACACCGACAAGCACTTTTAAAAAAAAGGTTAAAAATGACACAGATCTATCCAGTCTTCAAATTGCATCATGTAGTGAATTTTTCCATACCTTCCATGACTAAGGATAAACTGACTCACAGCAGCCTACGCGAATACAAATTATACATGAACGTCTATTTACTCTAACAAATTGGTTCTCCCAAGTGCCTCTCCCAATATACGAATAAGCTCACTGAAGGGAATAGATAGAATCAGAGCTAACTGGTATTAAGTCACTGCTGACAGACCAAGTTAGATCGTGCTTGAATAGTCAATTTTTCAAGAGTGAGGTGAATTATTCATTTTTTTTCAGTCTACAGAGTGTTTAAGTGGGGTCCTCCAGCATTTATTACCAGGACATCTGTTTTTTAAAATTCTATAAATGAACTCCCTCAGTGTCGTTTAAGATAGTCATTTTGGTCGACAACCTTAAGCTTCCGAAATAAATTTGTAGTCACAATTATGAACCTGCAACTCATGAGGTTCAGACTCGACTTCACTGTTCGACGGACAAAAACGAACTTTCAAACCATTAAAGAGTACGCCATCTTCAGCACACACAACTTAGGCGGTTGTCACCCTGAAGTGTCACTTCCTGGAAAGGCCTACGTGAATTAGTATCTTACGGTTTAAAATTTCAGGCTAACTGTGAAAAGAAGCTCTATTACAGAAAAGCTTGAACTGATAACTTTGAAGAGCATTTTCGGCTTTCCACTTAACTTTCATCACCTTTATTTTAATTCCTTTAACGCATAGAAATACAGTATTCCTTCCTTTGTCTTCAAGGACTAGGGATGCTCTAGAACTTATTCTAAGGTCAGACAATAAATCATGTCGTGTACACATGTACGGGCCTCATACTATCCATCTAAAATCATTGCACCCTTGCCTTTAAAAAATATAAGCTACTCGAAGGTGATCACCTGACAACATACCCCTGAGAACCCTCTGGAAGTCCATCTTAGTTCATGGTCAACACAAACCATGGGGGTGATACCCGAAAATCAGAGGCAAAATACGGCGAACAGGAAATTACACGCACATATTTGACCTACTCTTTGCCGCTAGTCAGGCCCCGGAATTCTCTGGCGTCTGGGGTGATTCAAGCAACGTCCTGGATGTTCGTCAAAAAGGAATTTGATTTATTCTTCTAGGACTTGGACATTATAGCGTTTTAACCTAATATTTCTTTTTCGTTTGTTGAATAAACCTACGTCTCGACATGAAGACATCGATGAACAACTACTAGAGAAACAAGCGCGATGGGCGAAAGCTGTTTCAGACTCCGTTTACAACCACTGGAATTCCCACACTGATATAATAATTTTTTGAACTTCACACAAAGGTTTGAAAGTCAATAAATTGGATATGATATTTTCGGCGGGGCGTAAAAGTTGCTTGGCTACAGTCATATGTTATTCTTTGTTATATGTTATCGTAAATTGTCCGACTACCGAAATTTACAGACGTAGTTCTTACACTTATCAACGTTAAACCTTTTTGTTTTTTCTACCTTAAATTGGCTGCTAGTTCAGCGCGTAAGGTATTATGTCTTTACGTAAACATTTGATTTAATAAGAATGGATATGTTGTACTGTGCATATATTGACATTAATAAAAGTAGAAAGCCTAAGTGTTCAATTCAATCTAGTTGTTTGTTGTTGTTTCATCCCTCAGCTAGATCCACCCGTTGATTTTCCTCATGCATGAGGAAAACCGTGTTGTTTTTCGTTGTTTTTCAAATTACATCCCAAGTTGTTCATAGATGATGTAAGGTAGAATTGAAATCGTTTTGGCCTGAATCAGCCTTCTGAACAGACAATACATCGTTCAGTATTTTGAGGTCTTGGTTCTGATTATGTGAGTGATCGTAGTTATCAGTTTCAGTTTGGGAAGGACAGGAGACTCGATGGCCTATGTTAGTCCTGGCAATGGTGGTCTCTCAGTTGATCCAACTTTCTTTTGAAAGAGTCGACGGATGGAGCCTCAACCACGTGCTGAGGTAGTGAATTCCACTCGTTGATTATTCGATGGGAAAGTCGATAGTCAGCTGACAAGTAATTTGTTCTCGGCTTGTGAACTTTTTTGGAGTGTCCTCGTAAATTCTCTGTTTTGGAAGACAGGAAAAATGAGGGCATATTAGGTGCAAATTTATCACTAAGCAATTTGTAGAGTGTAATCAAGTCGCCTCTAGTTCTGCGATATGACAACGGGAAAAGGTTCAGCTTGGGCAGTCGAACTTCATACGGAAGCTTCGCTATTCCAGGAATCAGCTAAGTTGCTGTTTTCTGAACTTGGAAGTATTTATTGGCAACTGCCAGGTTTGAGACCATTCAGATCATTTCTCCAGGTCATTTTGGGGTTCGAAGCTATCACTCTTACATCGTATCGTTCTCCATAACTTGACACCAGCATATAGCAAGACCGATGATGATAGGAGACAAGGAAGGTCATTTACATACAAGAGAAATGGCACTAGCCCGAAAACTGTACCCTGGGGCACTCCTTTAAGCACGGTTTCCCAGCTAGATAACTTTGAGTTCACCCTTACTCTTTGTTGACGCCCAACTAAGAAGTCTTTTATCCACATCAATAAATTGCCTCCAATCTCGACTTTTCTTATTTTATAACAGCCGGTTGTGCGGAACTTTGTCAAAAGCTTTACTGAAATCAATGAAGGCTATGTCTACAAGTAGCTTTTGGTCCTTAAGAGCGCACCAGCTTTCACGAGCCACTAATAAGTTAGTGAGATAAGAATAACCTATTCTGAAGCCGTGCTGCTTCTCCGAGAAGATCCGGTTTTTATCGAGATACTTAAACAGCTCCTTCCGAATAATCTTTTCTAAGATTCTAACGACCACACTAGTTAGGCTAACGGGGCGGTAGTTCTCAGGTTTGTGTTTCGTACCTGTTTTGAAGACAGGACTTACTATGGCGTTTTTCAAGTCTTTTGGTAAACGACCCTGCGTAACGGATAGGTTAAAGCATGTACTTAAAGGGCTTGGAACGAAGTTAGATAATTCCTTCAGTAGCCTAGGATGTAATTCATCGGGCCCCGTGGATTTGCCTATGTCAAGCTTATTTAGCAGACCAAAGACATCGGGTTCTTTAATGGTCACGCTATCCAGTGTATGTATGGGGGGATCTGTATACGCTGACAGGATGGGCGCTTCTATGATATATACGTTGCTAAAGTAGTTCGAGAACACTTGAGCCTTAAAAATGTCGTCCTCCACTAATGATGAAGCAGTACTGTCTCTCCATAGAGCAGGAATATTTCCTTTTCTCCTTGTCCTTTGGTTTATATAGGAATACAAGCGTTTAGGACATTCTATGGATTCCTTAACAAGTTTTTCTTCGTACAATTTTCTAGACTTACGGAGGGTCGAGGCACAAGTATTCCGAGCCTTTTGATACTGAGATTTTGACTCATCAGTCCCCAGTAACCTAAATCTATCACACATTTTCCTTTTCTTACGGAGAAGGATACGGACCTCCCTACTGAACCATGGTGGGGTGTTTTTCGGCCCCTTTGGTATAGTCCAAGGGATTTGAGGTGTGGTAATTTTTAAGTACGAATTTCGAAATGCGTCCCAGGCCGTTTCAATTGAGGACTCTGGGTCTGTTGTCCAATCTATTAACGATGCTGAGTGCATGATGTCTGGTATGTTTGCTTTCCAGACGTTGGGTCTGGACTGGACTGACGCGTGCTCGTGACCGGCAGTTATATGGAAGTCGAAAGTTAAAACTGCGTGATCACTTTTACCAAGGGGTGGCATATGATGGAGGTTCGCAACATCATCCTCATAATGAGTCAGTATAAGATCTAATAAGGATGATTCAGTGTCCGGATCGTACCTTTTCGCTTCTTTCACATGTTGCACTAGGGCACATGTGATAACCCCATCAACTAGTTCCTGCTCGAAGGAATTCTCCGACGATTTAGTTCGCGGATTTTCCCAGTCAACCATAGGTGCATTGAAGTCCCCTAGGATTAGACATCGACCGCTTTTGGACCAAGTATTGAGATTGCTTAACAGGATCTCATTTGCCTCACAGCTTGGACTACGATAGACCAAACCAATCAGCAGCTCTTGTCCCTTGCATTTCAAGCAGCAACTAACTAATTCACACGTCCCAGTTTCATGGAATACACTATCGATAATGGCAAATGAGATAGCATTCCTAATGAATAGAGCTACTCCCCCTCCTTTGCGCTTTTGTGTTTTGTCGGCCCTTATGAGTCACAAACAGGTACGAAACGTTCTCTGATTTCTATGGTTCCTCAGCCAGATTTAGTTCGTAATAAATATTGCATCATCTATCCAAATAAGGGGATATCTCTTATTTCGGTTAGAATGCCTCATTTGGTATTAAAGGATTAATCTGCACTTGGACATAAATGTTTCTACAATTAGGTTCGAAACTCAGTACATATTTTACAGATTATAATGTCACTTTTGAGTGATACCTCGTTTATTCATTTAGACAGTTATCTCAAGGTAGGCAGATTTAGTTAAATTCACAGTAGTCTCTTGTTCTGTACATTAAAAATACTGCTTCGCTCATGATTGGACTGTGTCATGTTCAGATTCCTGTTCTCTAATCCTAAAACATCTGTTTGTACTATCTAGTTTATTTATTTATTTGTTGTTTTTCATTTGAGATTGTTCGAACTAATCGTCATGGAACTACCACCTTTTGAATTACTTTATACTACGTCAGATATACTTAATGAATTAGAAACTGCACTTGAAGAGTTGGATCAAAGCAAGCTTTTCAAAGATGTAGGAAGGCGTAGACGTCGGAGGAGAAACGGAGGACTATATGGTGTAGGGTTTGAAGCAGAAGATCCCGATTATTATAATCCAGTGGGAATATGCTGTGATATCGCCTTCTACACTAATGAGGAATATAAAAGACATTTAGATAGTCATGTTAAAGTAAGTTTTGCTCGGTTGTCAAATAATATTTGACCAAGTGTCCTGTTGAAGGCTGCCCATTTACGTCACATCAGAAAGCAATGCGTGTCCATCAGGAAGTGGTCAGTATATCTCTATAAATTGTCATTTATCTATCCTTTTTACAGATCCACAATAGTGGTTTGTTTAATGTCATCTACCGTGAAACTTGCGATAAGTCAGTAAAAGTTTGGAGAGAAAGCCGTAAACGGTAAGACTTCTTCAACTAAAGTATCGATAGGGTTTCCCTTTTATATGAACCCAGATTATTTATCCTTTCTGTAAAGTATAAAGACATTGGTACTGTAAAAATTTGCTCCTTTATTTATGAATGATGTGTTTTAAAGAACATAAGAACGACTAACCTGTTGATTACTACGGTTTTTCTCGTGCAATTATCATAACGACTGATTCAAATAAGTTATGAAGTATGGTCTTTTGCATAAAAATCAGTGGACTATGCGTTCTAGTAACTACTCGAATTTATTTTGCAAAACGTTTAAAAGCTACTGAAAGACAAAGCGTACTAACTAAGTGCTTTGTTCTCTGCAGTTCATTGGAACTGGACATTTTTAATGGTTTTTTTTTACCTATAATGTTACCTCTGAGTAAATAAGGTGAAAGTTGATTGATACTGAAAAGGTTTATGGTCGTACTCAAAATAAAATGTTACTTATTTGTAGTGAACGTAAGAGCTATCATGAAAGCTACACACTTCACATCATTTTATTTATTTAAACAGTCAGTCAGCTACAACATTTATTTCAACACATACATATTGGTACAAAAGGGCACCAAATATATATGCGCCACACCATATTTGTGTGTGTGTGGGCTGTGATACTGTCCGGGTGCCCAAACCGAAGCAGGTGGTTTTCTTAGTAGGCCACATGCCGAGCCTTCGACCTGAAGGTCTGATTCACGAGGCAGTGGAGCATCGTAAGGAGATGCAGTCACATGGTAGCCGGTGATCAACGATTGGTCCATACGCCATTTGTTCCCGCAGGATACTAGAGCCAGCCCATGTGCACCAATGTTTTGGAATCCGGTTAAAGCGCCGGACATTCGCTTTTCGTCCTCCCATTTTCGTAAACAACACCCCCGCCACGAGAAGGCAGTGAGTAGGACTTCCCTGGCAGAGGCTTTACACGCGTGGTCATCTGAGAGCATTTCGAGAGGGAGAGCTGACTCTCCCCACTCTCGGCCGTACCAGGGCATTTGAGGGCATCTTAATTCCATCTCTTTTCAGCCGTAAATTTATTTTTATTCCATTCGAAACCACATTCTATTTAATGTGTTTAGTATTATTTATTTAAACACAAGCATTGGTACAAAAGGGAACTTAAATATGTATACGCCACGATAAAAACAAGCTTGTAGAAATGGAAAAAGGAAGGTGAGTATAATGAAAGAAAAAAATGAACAGAAATTAGTGTGAGAGTTAGAATAGTAATTACAACACCAGAAGCCGTAGATCGATGCATAATTGGTTAAAAGCATCCAACCACTAAATAGTATTTTCGAATCTTTTTTCATCACTCGTTTAAGCAGCCAGTTAGCAACACTAGCTTTTACATTCAATGTTTGGCTTAGAACCAGCCATGCAAATCTTGGCTTAATAAATTGTGTCATTACTACAGCTAGGAATGAAAAGTTTGAAAACCCTTGGTTGTGACATTCATTCTAACTTTTCTACTGAATCACCAATGTTTATTTCTTCAGTGTCCTTTAATGTCTGATTGCTTTAACCTCCGTTTATATTATGCCGAAAATTGTATTTTAAAGTGATGAATTCCTAGATTTTCATTATTTTGCAGTTTACCCAAATTGGACACATGATATTGAATAATCTCTTTCTACACTAAATGTCACTATTTCTTTTGTGAAACGATTATTTTGCTGTATAGTAATAAATATCACCAACGTTTTTGTATTTTTCACTCTAATTTCTCAGAAATTATCCAACTATTGAGCGAGTTGAAGCGAAAAAGAAGCTTATTAAAGAACGTATAGAGCGAGGAGAAATATTTGAGACACCTCAATTTGGGTAATCTCCTTTTTCTTTTTCAATCTTAACATATGGTGATATTATAACGATGTAATTTTTAGTAGTTTTTTTACTTGTTATATCCAAAACCACTGAATTTAAAATTTAAGTAGACTTCAATATCCCTCACTATTCCAAAAAGTGGTTAGGTCTGTACACTTTTACATCTCAGTCAGTCAGTAACAACGTAGAACTTCGTACTTACTTACATCAGTTCGAGTTGCCACACCACATTAGCACAGAGATGCAGTTGTCGACTCAAATTCTGTAGTGGTAGAGGTAGTAAGAGTATAAGGAGTAATCTTGGAAATTATAATTGCACAACAGTCTGTGATCTCATTGGTTTTCTTTCAGCTTTTATTCATCCTTTTACTGTGGAATCATCATTATTAAATGTGATTAAGCAACGTCAGTAATGAAAATACACTTCCATATATATAATAGGTAGTGGAGCTGTGACCTTAATGGCTCCTGTAAATGATTTCCATTTCACTAATCGTAAGCAGAATGTCCCTCTTTGGTATGTTATCATCAACGCACGACGTCCTACGAACTTGGATTGCCTCACGTTGTCAAACCACACCTGTACTGAGGGATGAAATGATGCTATATAAGCTTTATCAAATTTATAAGTACATAGACAAATAAGGCTTAACCGTTTTAATTAGATGTTCTTTTTGTAGTCAAAGTTCAATTAATAAAGTCTATTAAGGCTCAAGGCTTGAAATCAGCAACTTTTGAAAGATGATTATGGTCAGTTTACACTGTATAAGAATGAATATCCAAGACATTATGTATAATCATTGTAACAAGCACTTCACATATTGCCAATTGTAAATAGGAATTAAAGTAGAATATATCTTAAATGATGGTCAGTTTATACAACATGCTTGTGTATGTTATGTGAGGTTAGATAACATTTATCATACCATGCACGTAATTTGAAACCTTAAATTATTTACCTCGAAAATCCAACAGTGTCCTCATTTATTATTAGTCCACTTGAGGTGGTTTCCTAAGATGTAAAATCTTGAATTACATTGTACTATATTAGCGGATAATACAATTTGTTTGTCTGCCTTGTGTTACTATTAATTTACATCGTTATAATACTGTATTTACCCGTCTCACTTTTATATTTTAGTTCGATGAACAAACCGAATTCAAATGTCCTACGTTCATCACAAATAGGTGAAGTCAATGCTTCATCTAACAAAGTAATGTAAATCTGCATTTTTCTTCAATTTTCAAATTCCGTATTAATGCTTATTGGTATGATGAGAAATGTATACCTTAAGATGATACCAAATTACATATAGGGTGTGTAGTTTCAGCCATATACGGTCATTCATTAGTGATAATTTTGAAACTTAGCACTATTCTTATTGTCTTGATCACTATTGTTATCAGTCCTAGCTCCATAAATTCTGATATCACAATGTACAACATTTGTAAATAATAACTAAAATGCATTTAATACGATATTCGACAGATTTTTGAGGAGTATTATGCAATTCTCATGTCATATACGTATATTTAAAACGGTTGTCCATGCAGTATGCTAAGAATTGAATTTCTTAGTTCTTAAACGTTTATCTACATAAATACCGCAAAGTGATGAAATGGAATCCTACTGACCAGTCAGTCGTAATTAACGTAGAGTCTGGCGTAAATGCGTATTAACTTAAGCTGTTATTACCAAATTGTCACTATGGAATCGCATTAACAAGAGGACTGACAGTGTATTCAAGATGATGTAGTACCAATGATAATGAAAAAATAAACTGTTACCATTGAGAAGTTGGTTGCGACAAGTCAACCAATTGTTTCATCTAGTCTTTAGAGATCCTACTTGTTAACCTACCTATATATGCTTGCCAATATTTTCCAATGCTATCGTTTTGCGTAAACTAACAAGAAATAATTCTAACGGTTCTCAGGTCACTAGATGACTACTAACCAATACGTTGTTTTTGCAAAATCACAATAGCGTCTTTATTCATTAATATTTACTGAGTGATAGTTAATTATCCCACCATTTGTATCCTACAGATGTCTACTTCGTCGAAAAAAACTAGTAAAACTTCAAAACAATGTCAAATAAATAGTCCCAATTCAGTTGTTACAAATCAAGAATCTAGCATACGCTTAGTCCCTACGGATTACGACAGTGAAAGCACAGATAATGACAATATTACTGTTAAAGATAAGTCTTCCTGTGATATAATCGATCCTACTACAGAATCTGTGGGAAAGGTAAGATTTTGATTATGATGACCGAAGGTATAGGATATGTGACTTGTTTTACAGGTGAGACTATAATTTTTGGACGACCTTTGAGCGACGCTAGACTGAGCTTGAGAGTGCCCATCTAATAACCAGGACCAAATGAGGGTTATAAACCTGTGTGAAGAATTAAAATTATGATTTACAGCTGATGATTAAGGTTAGGAATTAGTTTTTTGGGGGGAGGGGGGTCATCACAAACTGACATGAGCTATCATGCCAAAACGCTATTTATTCAAATGGATGAGTTAACTTCGCACCAAAATCTAAGACCTGTTATCTTATACGTGATTGGTTCGTCCATAAATTATAGTCTCGCCGTTTTATACTATGTTCATTTCGTTTCCAAGATAAATTTATAACGTAGTGAGTTATTTCATACTGCTCCTCAAGCATATAAACGGAGGCAAACAAAAGAACCCAAACACGAACATTAAAATTTGGATATATTATCTTTTCGGAGTGTTTTATGGTCTTCATATATTTTCTGCTGTTCAAATTTAATCATGACAAATCATCCAGTCATTCATACTTGTCTTATTTTGAAGATGACAAGAAAACTCTCGAAAAGGTGCATGAAATTGTTGGGGAAGGGGGATTTTGTAGTAACAATAACACGGAAATAACTTCACTGCCTTCTCGTGGCGGGGGTGTTGTTTACGAAATTGAGAAGACGAAAAGCGAATGTTCGGCGCTCTAACCGCGTTGGTGGACATGGAGAGTCCACCTAGGGGAGTTGGAAAACCCTGATTCCTAACCAATGATGCACATGGGCTCCAGTATCCTTAGGGAACAAATGAAGTACGAACTAATTATTGATCCCTGGCTACCATGGGACTACATCTCTTTACGATGCTCCACTGCCTCGTGGATCAGACCTTCAGGTCAAAGGCTCTGGGTGTGGTCCCCCAAGAAAACCACCTGCTTCGGTTTGGGCACCCGGACAGTATCACAGCCCTCACACAAACCAAATGAGATCTGTGTGGCGCATAACTATTTGGTGTCTCCTTGTACCAATATCTATGTGTTAAAATGAAATTTTAAAAAATCATCGTTTTTCTGTCATTGAAATCTAAAATAGGATGATAATTCTACATCTGCTTCGCTATCCTTAATACTCAACTAATTTACAAAAGTATTTTAAACAATAAGTTGTAATAGTATTTACAAAAATAATAACAAGTTCTGTCTCTCTCTTGAAATTACCCAGAAATATTCTTTTAATTTTTTAGCTTAATAATACTTCAAGCAGTCGACTTCGAAAACGCGGACGAAAGCAAAAGGGTGACAAGACCAATGATAATCCAGATAACGAAAATACTGAAAATTCTCGAGATGATCCATTCGCATCGCATCCTTTAGTGAAGCTACAAGTTAAGCGACGACAATGTCTTAGTGACATTCATCGTATACATAGTCGTCCAACGCTGCTACAGATGGTAGGTATATTTTACTTGTCTGTCAATAATTCGACAAGAAAATATTTAGACTTGCCCGACCGTTGTTGGTACATTGACGTGGTGGTCGGGCTTGCCTATCGTGATGAACCAATCGAGCTATACTGGCTGGAACAGCCGTTCCTCAAGGTCCTACCATGTCAGACAGGTCGGTTGAAGAACGGTAAAACTAAAAGCAGCAAACCTAAGGTCCGAAGGCGAAGTCGTACTGCTGACTGTACAGAGGTGTGACAGCAGTAAGGTGTTTCCTTCAGACAACCAGCATAACAGAAAGGCTGCCTTCCCACAAGGTGGGGTGGAGTTAGAAAAGGTCGACTCTAAAAATACACACTCCGCCTTACCCCACGAATATCCGTCTCCAGCGGTCTCAACATGTACGGACTAGCACGGAAATTACTCACAAAAAGGTCATGTGTGACCGACCTCAAGCAGTTATCCCTTGGGCACTGCTATCACACTCTCAGGCCACTAAAACCACCTGTAATCCAATTTCCTTTTCAGGTACCTCCAGAAGAACCCTTCCACGGTGTGGGCAGCTGGAAAGTGATAACCGCCTTCATACCTCTAACAGCACTCAAGACTGATTTATTTAGATTTTATAGCATTAGGGATATATAGATATTATGGAAAACAACATAAGTGAAAGTTAGTGGTATACCATTAATGGTATTTCTAGTATAACTAAAAAATATGTACATCACGCTAATACTAATTAGTACATTTACAGAAAAATTATTCACAGCTACCGTTACCAATATTAAAGTGGATTATAGTCGACTTTAACAAGATTATTCACAAAATTATTCTGTATTATTGTAGGGCCAGTTAAATGTCACTGAGCCCTAACCAAATCATCCGGCAGTTCGGTCATTGAATATCGAACAGACCATCTATCCCTATCAAGTTCAAAGACAACCAACGTGCATGAGTTAATCATACTCCATGAACTGGCTTATGCGGTGGTGGACTCACTAACTTCTTTGTGCTCATTCTTACTAATACATTTCCATAATGACATCCTTTGTGTTGTACGGTCTTTAAAACAGTCATGGACTACTGGCCTATGCGGTGGTGGTGAATCAGTTGATGAGTTTGTGAATCTTCATCGACTGAGATGGCTAGGTCACGTATCGCGTATGCCTGAACACCGATTACCGCGACGTGCAATGCTATCCGGTGTTCGGGATGGTTGGAAGAAAGTTAGGGGCGGCCAAACCAAAACGTGGCATCGGTGCTTGAAGTCACTAACTTCTAGTCTAAGCCACGTCGGTAGATGCAGATGTGGTCCGCGTGACTATCGTAACCAAGGGTTGGAGACTGGGGATGACATGGCTCAGAATTGACCACAACGTTGTCGGTGTATACACTCTGTCTTCTCTTAAACTATGAGATTAAAATCACTTTATGTCTTCCTAACTAATTATCTCTTCCTGTTATATCCGTATATAAAACCTTTCTTTTATACATTACTACCATTGAAGTGACTACTTCTATGAATTCGGTGTTCATCTTGTGCTAATGAGGTATGACAACTTGAACCGATACATATATGTATCTGGTCCTACATTGTAGCTGACTGGTCTCACTAACTTCTCTGTACTCATTATTATATTTACGTATTAACGGTTTTCAAAGTAGCCATAGTACTTTGATACGTTGAAGGGGTAATTCACGTTAGATGCTGACTGCGAGGTATGACTTCGAAGTTAGCTGGTTCATCACACTATTCCCGCCTAACTTGAGCAGACCCGCAATCATCTACTATGTAAATATATACCACTGTACTTTAACGATTATTTGACATAGTTATCAGTTTACATAAAAATAACTCATTTCTTAAATGATAATAATTATTATTTTAATTGATATTTTTTCACAATTACATTGATTTAGTTATTAGCTGAAGATATTCGAAAAGAACGTAATCAACTTATGCAATGTATTCGTTACATTGTTAATGAGAATTTCTTTCAAGGATAATTAATTTCAAATGACACATATATTTTATAATAATAAGAGATTTGTCGAAAGCTGAAAAATAAAGTGTAATCATATTTGTATATGTATATAAATATATTGAAGAAAAATTTTGTGTAAATTTTCATTTCTTTAATTTGTATCTAGTTTAGTTTGGTAATGATCAATATTTTCTATAAGGTGTCCATTCTGGATCTTTAATATTCATGTAAACTTGTGTTTTTCGTGAGCGACCAGCCTTAGGTTGTACAGTGATAGGATTAATATTATTAGATTGTTTAACCCAAAATGAAGTTCCTTGAGGAGGATGTCGTTTTATATGAGTAAACCTATGAGATTTACGTTTTTTTTTTCGTCCATCCGGTTTAAGATCACCTGATGCGGAAAGTAAAGGAAGTGATCTTGTATGAGCTTTGTATTCTTTAGTTCTTCTTGATTGTTGGAATTCAGAAGGACTTAAACTTCTTGATAAGTTTTCTATTGTAGAAGTTTTATCTTCTTCTATAGACTTGGACTCCTTATCAACTGGTGTCAATAAGTGAACGCTGTGCCACCAACGGAAGCATTGTGCTGAACAAATACGAGGAAAACCAGGACATGCTGCACAAACCATGTTAATGGTCATTCCATTTTGTACTTGATTTCTTAACTGACAAGCATTACACTGCACATTTTCATTAGTTGAACTATTATCAAAAGCACCAGGCAACATATCGTGATATAGTGATTCTATAGAGACTAGTCTATGTTTATCATTTGTTGCTCCGCATGCATCTTTAATGGAGTTTGTTGTGAGGGCATCAGAAATAATATTTGTCTGATTGTTAGCAGATACTTTATTTATAGCTTCTTTGTTTGTGTTCTCCGTGTTACACATCGGTTGATCCTCTTGACTGTTATTGCTTGGCAATTCATCATTGTTGACTGGTACAGTACTTTCTGTAAAAAAAACAATATGGTCACTGCATAAAGTGGATGCAAATTGGTATAAAAACTTTATTGCAAAAGGATAAAGTGACATTACATTATCAGTCTTGCAACCTATAAAACGACACGCCGAAGGTCAAAAAACCACCAAGACCGAAACCTTAAGGCATGCACGACACATGCCCCAACCACCTCATTCTTTGAAGTCACCGACAAACTAACTGGGTTATGTTAATAGGTGTAGACAACCTGGTTGAAGCCCGCGTGATAATTGTAACCAACGGTTAGAGACTTCGAGTGAAATGCTCCAGAATCCTTCATAGTTACGCATGTGCACCCACTTCTTGTCTACATGTAAAACCTGAGCCAAGAAATCTCCCTACAGCTTTTCTATGTTTCTATACCCAACCCTTTCCCACTACCCCGGGATTCATCTTCAAATAATTCTATATCGCTGTGCTAATGTGGTAAGGCAACTTGATCCGATACACATATGACTGACTGAGAAAACTGATTGTGAAATTCAAGACCGTCATTGACCGAAGACTAAACCGCCTTTGCAAGTTGTCTTCAATCTAACTGGTTTTATAAGGATAAAGAGAAATAAAGTGACTGATTTATTAGAAGAATGGGTCAAGAAATCCTTGATAGTGGAAAAAACAAACCCCATATGTTTACTTCGTTTAACCTTCAAGTTCTCTGGTCTTATCTAACTTTTCAAGCTGGACTTAACTCAATATTTGTCTTGCCAGGTCAGCCTATTAAGCGTGAACACAGGCTGATTTAAGCACTATGAAGTAAAATAGTACATTTAAAGCTTATTGTGGTTTACACTCGTATTTAATTGCTGATTGGGTGTACATATTTGTCAACAGTGCTCTTAGTGAGTAGAGCATGATATATTTTTAAGATTGCACTAAAATAACAAACTAAGGAATTCTGTACTTAACAGGAATAAGTCTTATGACGTTCAAACCTAGTACTCGCATCTTGTATTGTACTTATCAGTAAACCATAAATACAACAGAGATTAGAATGCTCTTCGTTTTCAAATGACTGACTTGAAAAGTAGACGGATTTTCCGATAGTTCATACTTTTTATATTTGCATATATGAGTGAAGTCGCCGGGAGTCACACCTCAAGAATGCCAAATTACCTACATAAGTTCCTGTGGTGTTTTCCAGGATCTGATTTATTTTCAAGTACTTATCAAACATGCTGATACTACTTGTTTTGATGCAGTTATGGTTATCCACTACCAAGGGAATATAATCCCACTGAGTATTCTAACAACTATAGCCTTACTAATATTTGAAAGCACCTACCAACTAAAAAACTACTTACAATAATGGACAGACACCTACCATGATCTACTCGTTCATCAGTCTCACTCTCGTCACGAGTTTGTTGCTGACATTGAAACTCTCCATTTAGATTCTAAAAATATTTCATGAAGATTTCCGCACGACTTACTGAACTTGTGTCTAGAAGCAATGAGCTAAGCAGTCCTTAAAGAAAATTTTACCTTCTTGTTTGATTCGGACAATGGCCTCTAGAGTTCTTAGGTGCTTTTTGTGTGAGTAAATAAGGTCGACGACACGCTGCTGAAGCTCACAGGTCATTTTGAAAGCAGAGTTGAGATCAATAAATCGCATCTCACCAGCTAAAGTACTTGCATCTTGTATCTGAAAATATATTATGTGAAGGGTGGTAGATTTACTGTTGCCGCAAACAGTCTAAGCAACTCTCGCGAACCACTAGCCATAAGAAAATGTCAGACCCGCGCCATAAATTTGACTTAATAACCCCGCTTACACTGACCTATAAGATATGTCAAATTGGCCAAAGACAGTCCTAGTGTTAGGTAACTTCTTTTCGGATTTCTTTGTTCTTGTTATTTGAGCATAGTTTCAGGTATCTGGTAATGTTCAATGAGTGGTAGCCCAGAAATTCGACTATGTTTATTTTAGTCAGTTAGGTAGTTTGCTGTGGATGTGCATGTCTTGCGATTTGAGTGCGTTTGTCTCAGGAAAAAAATTCTGAATACCAGCAGCTACCAGATGGCCAGAAATAAGGTTTACTCGTTGTATGTAAAAATAACAAGATAAAAATTTGAGTGCTGATAGAAGACAGATATTTCAAGAACAAATAAATGTGTTAATTCAGCTTCAGTTTGGAAGGGACAGGAGGTTGATGGCCTATGTTAGTCCTGGCAATGGTGGTCTCTCAGTTGATTTAGCTTTCTTTTGAAAAAATCGATATATGGAGCCTCAATCACGTGCTGAGCTAATGAATTCCACTCGTTGATGATTCGATGAGAAAGTGGACAGTCAACTGACAAGTAATTTGTCCTGGGCTTGTAAACTTTTTAGGAGTGTCCTCGTAAATTCTCTGTTTTGGAAGACAAAAAAGTGAGGGCATGTTAGGTTCAAATTTATCACTAAGCAATTTGTAGACTGTAATCAAGTCGCCTCTAGTTCTGCGATATGACAACTGGAATAGGTTTATCTCGACCAATGTAGTATCATACGGAAGCTTCGCTATTCCAGGAATCAGCTAAGTTGCTGTTTTCTGAACCTTTTCCAAAAGCCCACTGTCCTTTTTTAGACAGGGGCTAGCCACGTGTATGCAGTACTTAAGTTAGGACATACGAACGGGTGATCTTATCCGCAACGCGACCACATAAACTTAATTTATCGGTCATCTGTGCGTTCAGGTAACCACAGATTTTGTGATTTCATAATTTTTTTAATGAAATAACTAGATTATATAGCTAATTTTGATCTTTTTTTATATTTTCATTCGCCACATTCGACTGCGTTACACTGCACGTCCATTGCATGCTGGGATGATATCTCAAGTCATAGTGAGTTTATTCACATAGTTGATTGTTTCCAGATAGACTGTCAGTGCATGATTTTACTGTAGAAAGGTTTATTGTACTATAAACTATGTTTTTATGAACAACTGCCTGTTGTCTTCAGTCGGAAAGCAATATAGATATTCTTTGTCTTCTGTTCGGTAAGTTCAATTGGCCTATATTTCGTTTTTTTGTTTTATCGTCTTAATTATGTCCATTTAACTACTTTAAGCAATATGCCTGTGCAAATGAAACAATAACTATGACACTTGCTTAGTTTAGTATTCTTGGTTGTCGTATTATTCAGTTTAGTTGAAAGAATTATGGTGTACTTAAGTATAGTGCTTGAAGTCTGTAACGAAACAGATCAGTTTAGTAAGTAGAGTTGCCTGTTTCTGATGAGTATACTGATTCAAATCAGTCTGATTAAAAATAGGAAAAAAGTGCTTTTGGTACTGTTGCTGTCATACATTATAAGATAGCGATAAGTATGTTTGGTGGTTATTTCTAGATCGTACATCTATCACTGACCATATTTCATAATCACTGTCATTAAACAATTTCCCCAGCAATAACATCGGTAGCAGGATAGCTAAGTGTCTGAGCTTTTATTTCCCCGTAGAAGAGCAGTATACAGTCTTAGAAGATGAGTGTTCTGTATCTCAATTAAATGCAGTTGGCTGTGGACAAATGTTAAGAATCTTTTTGACAACTAAGACTTTTAGTTCATCGAACACTAACTGTGCTTATATGTCTCCCTGTTAAACTAGATGCAGATACACGGTAATACTTAAATGAGAGCGAAATAATGAAAGGATTGAGATACGGTATTAAGTCCATGTTATCCTTTGCACAAGTAATAGCTGACCTGACCTAATATTCGTGAACTAAAAATAAATCACAACTGCATAAATTCTTTGCTAAAAAACATGTAATTCGATTCCACATTTCTGACTAAATTCATTACTATTTTCTCATTTAGAGTGCAACAGGACTGAGTCTTCACAGATCTTAAGAACTGTTTCGCCCTTAGAACTATGGCTCTTTGGATCTCTTTACGGGAGACCCAACTAACAGTAGATTATAAAAAGGATGCTGGATGTCCATTTTAATCTCACAACCACTTCCAGTACTTTTTGAGTTACTTCTTTTACCCTTTCGAATGGAAAAAACAACAAAAACTGCAGCTTAACATTACAAATGCAATTTTTAGACTGGAACTTAGTTTAAACCTTTGTTTCATATTCGATTCTTAATGAAAGTTCCTGAATAAATTTTTAAATC